TGTTTACTACATTAATTTTCAACAAGCAGTCATGTCAACACGATAGAATTAATGTTTAAAATAAATAATCAGGAAAAATATTAATGTCCCGGCTAAGGAGCTAGGATAATTAAGATATTAAGATTCGAAGATTCAAAGTTATGATTTTTCTTTCTTTCTTTAATTTAACAACGTAAATTTTCATTCTTACAGTAGATTTTTTTTTTCTACTTTATTTTATTTTTAGAATCAGCAGTTTAATAAGAGTATGATTTGGTTAGGGATAATCATTTCTTTTTTTTTTTTTTTGATAAAAGGTATAATTTGATTAATAATTGAAAAGCAATTATAGTGCAGAGTATACCATACCGTATAGGCTATGCAAGATAGATAAATAAGTTAGGTAAAACGTATAACACTAATATAGAGAGCTTGGTGCTCCATACAAATAGAACAATTAAGAACTGAGAAACTCTAAATACTATTATATGTTATAGGGGTATCAATAGAGTTATGTGATAACATAGAAAGCCTACACTGGAACTTACGGTCGTTGCTGGTAATCACATTTATTTTGCCATCCAAACCTAGCACGAGAGATCAGGGGACTTGGCGATGTAGTGTCTCCCAGCACCACAATGCTCCGTCCAAGCAAAAAATGCCTAGTTTGTTTCATGTTCAGGTGGCTAGCAAAAGCAAAACCAGTGCAAAAACATACACTTCCTTGAAAGACCAACAACACTAGAACTAGAGTCACCCACAGCATCCCTATCCTTCTGTATTCGATTATCGGATCGAAAATTGGAGCGCACTAGGTTCTTTGATGTAGACCGAAGGATGCTGCTGCCTTGTCAAAAATTGGAATACACCAAGTTCTCCAAATGCAACCCTCGCCAAGATCCCATCAGAAATTGAAAATATGTTAAAGCGAGATTCTGATCCGATGAATAAGAGAAACCCAAACCCACCAGCAAGATCATGTCCCTCAATATTCAGTCACAAACTTCAAAAATCGACAGTAGATGTAGATTGAAAGATGCCATTGCCTTCTGGTCCCTTGGGCTGAAGTTTCCAAAGCAAGACAATGGACTAAGAGGAAGGAAGAAATCAAGAGGAGGAAGGGAGGGGAAGAAGACAGTAAAGAAAGAAGAAACTCCTTGCCGGAGAGAAACCCTTAGGAGAAACCCATAGCTACCGCCTTCAACCCTAGCCAGAGCACGAGAGAAAAAACCTAAGGAAAGATTCAATCACTTACCTTATGTTTAGCTTGAGAGGAATAGAGGAGAAGAGAAGGAAGGGGAATTATTTCCTTCTATTCCCTTGTTAGGGATCATCAATTGGTTGTGCATGCTCCCGGTAAAATAAGAACTCGGAAGACCTTATAAAGGCATGATGCATGGCTATTCATTGCAACATTCTAATTACGCAAGAAATTTGATGTTTATCATGGAGGAGTTGGAATTGGATCACTCTTCTTTTACTCAGTTTCAAAAAAATAAAAAATAAAAAATAAAATAAACTAAAGATTATGTAGTAGAGCACTCTTCTCATAGTCTAGGGCTCACAACAGAATAGGGCAAATACTAGGACCAACAAAAGTCAGTATTAATTTAAAATTCTTGATTTTTGTTAGAAAACAATATGGTTATAATATTAATTAATATTATAAATAGTATTATAAATTAAAATTATATAATTGATTTTTTATTTAAAAATTTATATATAATATTATATATTTATTAAATAACTCTTTATAATTATAAAATTATAATTTTATGTGACATTTTAATTATATAGTTGCCATTGCCATCTTGACTTAAATTAAGTGTTTAAATAATTGGAAAACCAAATAACCAACCCTTTTAAGAAGCCCTGAGTAAAGCAAGTGGTTTTGCCGCACTCTCCTTTCCCAAAAACCCCCCAACATGTAACCTTGTTCCAAAAAAAGATAAAAAACGACACTTTGTATATATTAAAAAAAAAATTAATGTAGGGACTATGGCCTAGCCCATCCCACTGAGAGAGAAGTCCCCGTCCAGCCCCATTGGTGGGGCAGGGAGAATCTAGGGCCCATGAAGTATGCGTGCCGAAGAGGCCCATGTTAGGTTGCTTTGGATTAAAAATTAAAATATTAAAAAATTAGTTAGAGCGCCTAAGTTAAGACGGATTATGGTTATTTATTTTTGGTGAATATGATAATTTAATTTTAATTAATTAATCAATTAAAAATATTCTATGTGACAATAGTATTAAAGCAAGGATTAATTTTTATGTTTTTTAAAGGAAAATAAATAAAAAAAAAATATATTTGTTACACTTTAAATATAAATTTGACCAACTCATAAATTTAAACACTAAATTTTATTTGTTTGATAGGTGAGGAAGCTGGAAGCCTTGATAGCAGTGCTGGTGTTTATAATGGCTGGTTGTTTCTTTGGAGAACTGAGCTATGTAAAACCCCCAACGCATGATGTGTTGATGGGCATGTTCGTGCCAAAGCTTAGTGGGCAAGGAGCCACCGCTGCTGCCATTGCCCTACTTGGTGCCCTTGTTATGCCGTACCCTCTTCATTTCCTTATCTTACTCATACATTTATCTATTTCCCTCCTTTTTTTTTTTTTGGTTTTGTTTACTTCTTGAAAACAATAAAACTTGATTACTAATAACTAATGTAAAAATTAATGTTTGTTTGTTACAGGCACAATCTGTTTCTTCATTCTGCTCTTGTACTTTCTAGAAAAGTACCAAATTCTGTTCAGAGCGTCAATGTAAGTAACACAAATTATATTTGTAAGCCTCCCTTTTTACATTTGTCATTTTTAAGGTATATTTTTTCAGCTTTTATACGCTTTCAATTCGAGAAAAGAAAGACAAAAAAAAAAAAAAGAAGAAGAAGAAGAAGAGAAAGTGATTGATTTTGTAACTCGAGTAAGTTGTGCGTGTAGGCTGCATGTCGAAATTTTCTTATAGAAAGTGGATTTGCCTTGTTTGTCGCATTTCTGATCAACGTAGCAATGGTATCTGTAACTGCTTCTCTTTGCTCTAATGCACAACTCTCTGATGAAAACCAAAACAACTGCAATAATCTCACCCTTGACTCAGCTTCCTTCCTTCTCAAGGTGCAAAAGTAAATAACATATTTATACATCTAACTCAATCTTTAATTTTAAAAAGCAAAATTAAGAAAATTATTTCGTATTTTATTAAATGCAGAATGTATTAGGAAAGGCTAGCCCCATCCTCTATTCCATTGCCCTACTTGCATCAGGACAGAGCTCTGCAATCACAGGCACCTACGCAGGACAATTCATAATGCAAGTAAGGTCTTTAACAAATTAAACAAACCATCATGCAAAAATTTTTTTTTTTCTGTATAACGTATGTCTAATTAAAATACATTATCCATGACAGGACAAAGAAATTTTCTAAAAATTACCTCCTCGCGTCCTTTCCAAGGAATCCACTATCATACATTTTCATTTACGTGCTAGTAAAGCTAATTTTTGGGACTTTATTTTCAGGGTTTCTTAAACCTAAAGATGAAGAGGTGGAAGAGGAACTTGTTGACAAGGTGCATTGCCATCGTACCTAGTCTTTTAGCCTCCATCATTGGTGGGCCTCAAGCAGCAGGCCAATTGATCATCATTGCGTCGGTAATTAATTAAAAAAATTAGCTAGTTGCACTTATATATACTTAGAAATTAAACATCAATTCATATGGATACGTATGTATTTGAGTAATGGATATTATATGCAGATGATATTGTCCTTTGAACTCCCATTTGCTCTCATCCCACTTCTTAAATTTAGCAGCAGCAACACCAAGATGGGACCACACAAGAGTTCAGTAGTTGTGAGTTTTTTAACACAAATTTTTCTCAAACCCTGGGATTGATTAAGTTGTGCTGGTGTTTAAAACTGAATGAATTTGTGAATCAATGCAGATCATTGTAATATCATGGTTGCTAGGCATAGGAATCATTGGCATCAATGTCTATTACCTGAGCATAGCCTTTGTGAGTTGGTTGATTCATGCTCGATATTTACACACGGTCGGTAAAGTGTTAATCGGAATCCTAGTTTTTCCTGTCATGGCAATCTATCTTCTTGGTATCATCTATTTGGCCTTCCGAAAAGACACTGTAGTGACATATGTGGAACTAACAAAGCCAGATCAAATGGAAGGTGGACTCAACCAGATGGACACTGTCTCGTATAGAGAGGATTTGGCTGAGATTCCATTGCCAAAATAGCTGCACCGCTCGTTACACAAACAAATATGCCTTGTAATTGGAAGATTAATATTCACTTCTTCTAGAATGGCATTTTTCTTACATTTGTAAAATGGATATATATATATATATATGTAGACTGTTGTATGTAGGAAGAAAATATGAAAAAAACATAAATAGACCCATCTATTGTGTGTTTGTTTATTAAACTTGATGATTATAAAATCAGTTATCCGGATTGATTACTACCTCCAATGGAAGGTCTGCAAATGCAAGAAGAGGTTAATTTTTTATGGCCAGCAGAGTTCAGGATTGATTTCTGGTATAGATTAGTGAAAGATTCTGTGTTCAAAAGCTACTGTTTCTTCTCTGCTATTAGTGTTGTCATGACGCTCTTACCTTATATCTGAACGTCAAGATGACGAGGTACGTTTCAGTCGTTCATCCATGTATATATACTGCCCTTTCTCTATATATTCACAGTGAGGAAAATAAAGCATGTCTACAATGGAATCGATCGGAGTGAAATTAAATTCCACATTTACATTACGCTAATCATTTCAATCTATATCAGAGCTAGTTCTCTAGTCCCAGATCCGTACTTCATTAGTAGATATATATGACGACTAATGTTAGGCTGTGCATATATTCCTCGGGATGTTGAGCATATCAGATGCTGAAATGATGCCTTGCAGCCTGCATGACTGCAATTAAGCTAGGTGCACTACTCTTGCCCTTTGGCTGACTCGGTATGGTGATAAATATACATGGCATATATGTGCGGATGCACCTACCCCTGCTGACTGCATGCTACCGTACTCGATATATAGAAATTATTGATTGTGAAGGACAAGGCTGAAATTACCCCCTTTTTTTTTTCTTTTTTTTTTTTTGGATAAAAAGGCTGAAATTACTTGTCGTCTATCTATCTATATATATGTGTGTGTGTCCTTTGTGTAGTTGTTGACTTCGAAGGAGCTACACCAGGTACACTCATTTTTGAAGTAACTGCAAGAGAGAACCATCTTGGACGGGGTTATCCAAGGAACCTGTAACCAATTATTACATTAATATATAGGTAATTCATTTTAATATTAATTCCTGATAACATGAATTATCTGGACCAAGAACATAATTGCCTGCTATATGCGCTTCAGGACTCTAAAAACTAATTACTAATTCCAAGGTTATGTAATGCTGAGAAGACATCAAGTGAAATGATCATCAATTCATCTTTAATTTCAATTCATAACTAGCTAGGTAAAACTACATTTGATGAATATTATTATCAAAGAGTGGGTATTCACTCACTAATGCGTGTAAGTTTTATATAAATATTATTCACAATCATTGTTTAAAATATATTATTAAATATAACTTCATGATTTCTAACTATTAAATTTAAAAATAAATGGAGAGTTATATGTGTATGTGAATTCAAACTCATTTTATATTTCATCAATTTGTTTTTTTTGTTTTTTTTGTAAGTCATTATCCGAACAACTTGTTTTTCTTGTTTTGCACTATAAATATACAACATTAGATTTCACTTCATTCAAGACAAAAAAAGAGTGAGATGGCCAGCCTGCAGCAGCAGCAAGAGGCTGATGCAACCGTGCCGCCCTCAGGAGGTGGAGGAAGCAACCGCATAGTGGCTTTCAATGTGGAAGGACTCGGCCTGCCGACGTCCCTCACCAGTAACAACAGCAGCAAACGTTTTGATCAAGATGACCCAAAAGATAAGGTCTCCCCTATTAATTTCTTTCTTAGGCCTACATTCATGCACCATGATTTTTAGTAATATTTATTCAATTCCAGAGCTCTAAAATTCTTCAATTATTTCGATGACTATGTAGAAACCTGGATGGAAAAAGTTCTTGTCGCATGTAGGCCCCGGTTTCCTTGTTTGCTTGGCTTATATAGACCCTGGCAATAGTAAGTGTGTCTTGCTTCTTCTTCTTTTTTTACATCTAATTAATTAATTAAAAAGAGTCTAGAAATGTTGGTCCGGAGCAAAATAATGTGTCTATTTATCTGAAATTCAAATTTAGAAGTGTTTTGTTCTAACCATTAATTAATCGTATCATGTTACAGTGGAATCTGACATTCAAGCAGGAGGTACGTACGGATACGAGGTACAAGTACATCAAAACCAGAAGAAACAAAAGTCAAAGAATTAACTCTTCATTTTGGCTTCTTCTTCGTCTTATCTTCCATTTTATTTTTTTTTTTTATGAAAGTTAATTTGGTATTGTTAATTTGCATGCAGTTAATGTGGGTAATTCTGCTTGGATTGATCTTCGCTCTAATAGTCCAATATCTTGCAGCTAATCTAGGCGTAAGCACAGGTACTTGAACGAAAATAATAATAATAATAATGGACTCAACTAATTGATTGATTAATACATATTTATATGAGAAAAATATATATTAATATTAACTTTTTAAACAAATTGAAATCTCAATTAATACTGCTTTATTTAATTAAAATTCAATTTAAAATTAAAAAATTTACCTTATTAAATGTTGATATATATATATATATACATATATATTTGAATTAAAATTTTAGTATTCAAATGTAGATTGAGATTTCAATTTTTTTAAATTAAAATTAATATACACTATTATTTATTTATATATATAGATTAATTTTCTTAAAATTTCTATTTTCATTCATTTTTAGGCAAACATCTATCTGAGTTATGTAAGGATGAATATCCAAAAGTCGTGAGGTATTGCCTATGGTTGCTAGCAGAGTCCGCCGTCATAGCTGCTGATATCCCTGAAGGTTCTTTTTCCAATTTATGATGATAAATTTTTCCTACTGATTTGATTAAAGAATAAAGATAGACGATATATGTTAACTTTTGAAGATTATTGACTATTTATTACTAACATAAGAAAAAGTGAACATTCTGATTTATTTCTATTGATTTTTGGCAGTAATTGGGACAGCCTTTGCATTGAATATTCTGTTCAAACTCAAAGTATGGATTGGAGTCCTCTGCACAGGCCTCAGCACTCTCGTATTTCTTAGTTTACAGAGATATGGGGTAATTTTCATTTTGTTAACAAATAAATTAGCATTGACTTTTACAACCGTAAACTGTTTGAAAAGTTACACGCTGGACTGCTTGTTGGCGTACCACTTGTATTTCAAATGAATAAATTTATTTGCCAATGAAAAAAACTGCTGGGCCCTATTTGTGTAGATATCAATTTAGATATAGAAAGGGATTGGTACACATTTTTTATTTGAAATAGTTTTTGACATTTATTTCGGTCATTAAATATAATATAAATATAATTAATTTAATTAATATTTACATCTTGTATTTATGATTATATTTTTAAATTGTTTACTTTTAATTTTAAACTCAAAAAATAATAATTTTTAATAAATATCTTATATAATGTATTAAATTAAAACGTATGCGAATTAATATCCTTTAGATATAAATGTCAAGAATACACATCTATATTTTCATCAAGAAATAAGTCAACATTTTCAAAGAACCAATTTCTTCTTCAATAGAATTTCTAAATTTTAGTGTTTCCATTTTGGATTGAGTTTTTCATTATATATTTTGGGAATCTGGATTAAAAATGAAATTTTGGTGAGGGCGTTAGTCTTATATTTCGGCACCCAATGAATTAGTTTGTTGGATATATGCATATATAGGTGAGGAAACTGGAATTTTTAATAGCAGTGATGGTGTTTCTAATGGGTGGATGTTTCTTTGGAGAAATGAGTTATGTGAAGCCCCCAGCAGATGCTGTGTTGAAGGGAATGTTCGTGCCAAAGCTCAATGGCCAAGGAGCCACCGGCCTTGCCATTGCCTTACTGGGTGCCACTGTTTCCCCGTACCATCTTCATTTCCCAATCTTAATTTCTAGTATATTTATTTATTTCTTTTTCATCCCAAGTAACCAAAAAATAATAATAATAATATTTTGTTTCTAATAACTAACATGAAAATTTTGTGTTACAGGCACAATTTATTTCTCCATTCTGCTCTTGTACTTTCTCGAAAAGTACCTAACTCTGTTCAGAGTGTCAATGTAAATATATAACACATACTTTTAAACCTCACTCCTTATATATTTTTCATTTTCTTCAGTTATACTTTAGCAATCATTTATTATAATTAATATAACAAAATAATGTTGAAAGCACACCAACATTAACAATTTGAGAAAATTAGAAAAGAATCTAAAAACAAGAATAGTTTTTTTCCTTTTACAGAGAGTGGGGCTCGGATATCTTCAATTAGTTTTATAACACTGTGTTAGTTGTGTGTGTAGGCTGCATGTCGGTATTTCCTTATAGAAACTGGATTTGCATTCTTTGTTGCATTTCTTATCAACGTAGCAATGGTATCTGTACCGGCCGCTGTCTGCTTCAGCCCAAGCCTCTCTGTGGGAGATAAGGATAACTGTAACAATCTCACACTTGACTCTGCTTCCTTCCTTCTCAAGGTGAAAAAGGAATATATATGTTAATACCCATATTTTGAATGACTTAAGGATTGATATTTCAAAAAAACTAAAAATCAAGATTGATTAACACTATTGTTATATATATATATTATATTAACATTAGTTTTTATTTGTCTTTCACATAGCACCTTAAAATTTAGAATTTATAGTTAATTTTAATTTTTATATAATTTAACTAATTTTAATTAATATTATTTTTAAATAATATAAAACAAAAAAATACAGTTACAGTATAGTACAATACCAATAAAATAAAACCTTAATTTTGAAAAACAAAATTAAGAAAATCATTCCTTAATTTTTATGATTAATGCAGAATGTATTAGGAAGCTCAAGCTCCATTCTCTATGGTATTGCCATGCTTGCCGCAGGACAGAGCTCTGCAATCTCAGGCACCTATGCAGGGCAATTTATAATGCAGGTAAGGTCTTCAACAAATTATACACAACAAACCATCTTACCATCATGCATTTTTTTTCTTCTTTTTGGTGTATTATTAGTACCATCAAAACAAACCATCCATGACGAGACAAACGAAATTTACATAGAAATAGAATTAGCTCTCCTCGTGACCTCTCTAAGGAATAAATTAACCCCCATGCATTAAATTCATTTGCTTCGGAGTTTATTTTCAGGGTTTCTTAAATCTTAAGTTGAAGGGGTGGAAGAGGAACTTGTTGACAAGGTCCATTGCCATTGTACCAAGTATTTTAGCTGCCACCATTGGTGGGGCTCAAGCAGCAGGCAGATTGATCATCATCGCATCGGTAATTATCATAAAATTAATTACAATCCAAATTTATGTACATGTTTTTCTCAGTTTAATTAACTAATCATTAATAGTAATAATTAATTGCATGCAGATGATATTGTCCTTTGAACTCCCGTTCGCTCTCATCCCTCTTCTTAAATTTAGCTACAGCAGCACCAAGATGGGACCACACATCAATTCACGAGTTGTGAGTCTCGACCTTAATTTTAATTTTTCGAAACATAGGGTTGATTAATTTAAAACTCAATGAATTTGGGAATATCAATGCAGATCATTGCAATATCTTGGGTACTAAGCTTGGGAATGGTTGGCATCAACGTATATTACCTGAGCACAGGCTTCGTGGGTTGGTTGATTCACAGCCATTTACACAAGGTCGGTAAAGTGTTCATTGGAATCCTAGTTTTCCCTCTCATGGCAATCTACATCCTTGCTGTCATCTATTTGACCTTCCGAAAGGACACTGTAGTTACATATGTGGAACCTACGAAGCCAGATCAAATGGAAAAAGGACTTGACCAGATCGACCAAGGTGTCCCATTCAGAGAGGATTTGGCTGATATTCCATTGCCAAATTAGCTGCATCCCGTTGACCCTTTGGAGGATTCACTTCTTCTAACAAGGGTATTTTAATTTCTTGCCTTTGTGTTATAAAGGCAAATTACAATTTGCCAACGTATGGTTTTTGATGGGTGCATATAATCTCTAGAGGTTTCAAAGTATGCACATAAACTTCCAAGATTTGCATTTTGAGCGCATTGCCTTTTGACTATGTAACCTCAGAAGGTAAGATGCTCATAATCCAAATTTTAATGGTCTATGTGCACATTTTGAAATCTCAAAAGGTCATGTGCAATTGTCAAAAATTACATATATAAATATACATAAACTACTGCATGTGAGATAAAAAACCCATCCAGGTGGATGTTTGTATCTATGTTTATCTAAGTTAATGAATAAAAATAGTTTTATCCTCAAATGATTTTACCATGTTCTAGAATAATAGAAGTAATGATAATTCACGAGAGTATTTCTCGTGCAAACTCCTTATAAGGGGGCAAGAAAAGGCAGCAATGCATTATCCAGTGAGGCAGCACCCAAGCTTCGTCCATCTCTCTAGAAAAGGGGTTAATTTCTTCTTCATTGCAGCTTCCGTATCCATGCATCTTCTCCAAATTCCAGTCTCTTCGCAATTTTGAAATTAATTCTTTCCTTAACAATGCCTTGGAAAAACTGTTTTAGAGAGACTCACCAATTTTCATCCCAGAAACTATCTTCTCCCCTTTCCCAACCTCCTAACTCAACCCTTTCTCAAAAACATTTTTACGTAAACTCATTCTACTGGTTCAAGAGCGCAAGAACATATAGAAAAAGATAATATATTGAACCCAAAAAATCTTCCTATTAGCTTTATGGTCTCCACATATATATTGTAGTCTAATGCCTTCCTTCTCTTCAATGTGAGATTTTATGCATATCTCTCAACTTCAACCCACATGTGAACTTATCCTCCAACATATTCTTTGTCCCATCTAGAAGAACAAACTTTCCTAACATGTCAATCTAAAACTCCTCTTTTCTTATCTAGAAACCTGTCAGTCATCTTACGTACGGTGGAACAAGATGATTTAATTTATATTAATTTCTCCACTTGTTCACATCGTGCTTTCTCTCTTATACCCGCAGTCTGCTATTTCATTCCAAATCCTCGTTGTAATTAAATTTCCATCGACTCAAGCAGTAGGAGATCAGTTTACTGATCACTTCAACTTAATTTCTCCATCTAGTTCACCTTAATATATTGCTAGCTGAATACGTTGACCCTGATCATAAAACCTATGCATGAGTCACCACTACCTAAATCTCCCATCATCAAAGCAATCAGAGCGTGCATGATAGAACATCAACCTGTAATTAATTAGCCCAACAGTAGAGATAAAAAAAAATATGTAGCATATTAACGGCAAGATATATTAGAAAATTAGATCAAAGTCTAAAAGGCATGATTTAAAAATTCCAGAGGTAAGCATATAGAAATGCAATTCAATCATCACATTGCAGAGAGGATTGAATTCTTTTTTATTCTATATGACTTAAAAAGAGATATGGATTGGATGAATTTAGCTTTAATGCGGAAAGCGATAAGGATATAGAAAGGGCATAACAAGCAGCTTACTTCCTTCTGCGACTGACGAAGTGGGGAGAGGCTTAAAACAACAACGGGAACAAATTTTTAGATGCTTAAATGCTAGTTTTAGTTCGTAAGCTTTGACATTTGAAAATTTTTGACGTCTAAAATAATTGAAGCATGTTTTAGTCCCTTAACTCTACAACTTGGCCGTTGACACTTGTGTACCATCTTCTTAGTCGACGCTCTCTTCATCCCCAAAATTTCTTAACAAGCAAACATAACAGTTTTCTCAGCAAAGTTTCTTACTTATCAAACAAGAAAATGAAAACATCATTCTAGTTGCAATCCCAACAATAATCTCTCTGCAATTTCTTCCATCAACATATGGACAAAAATTCTACAATCCCAAACCATAAAGAAAAAAAGAAAGAAAGAAAAAGGAAAATCAACCAAATTCCACACAATGGAACCCAAATATTTGGGTTCGTGCATTCCAAAGAACCTGGAAATTTGGGTTTGTGGAACCCTGAGAATGAAACCCAAAGAGGGGCAAAGAGGTAGTAGGTTCACGATGGAGAAGGAAAGAGGGGAAAGAAGAAGGTGAGACCTCGGCGGAGTAAAAAGGGGACAAGAAATTCCTGGTACTAGTGGGAGGAGGATATGGTACAGCACTTGACAATGGCGAAGAAGAACACAAAGATGTCTGGGAACTCAATTCAAGCTACGAGAACCTAGATCTAGGTTGTCCCTCTTTCTTCAACGATGGGTTCTTAATTTGCACTTTCCATCTTGCACTAAGAAACCAGGGATCTTCGCATGGGGTTGTAAATGAGTCCTGTGGAGTTCCTTAAAACTTGAACTTGATGCTATTGTAACAAGTCGAGTTAAGTTCGAGTTTTTATCAAATTCAAATATACTAAGCTCAAACTTGACCTGCGAACTCAATTGATTACTCAAATTGTTATGTAATCTAATATAATTCAAACTGTATAATACTTTCTCTATATATGATTTTAACAGTTCATCTTTATATATTTATTAGTAGAATTTAATTAATTGAAAAAAAAAAAAGGATTTTTGCAGATGATATTGACTTTGAAATCCCTTTCGCTCTCATCCTACTTCTTAAGTTTAGCTACTGCGGCAGCAAGATGGGACTGCACACCAATTCACTTGTTTTGAGTCTCTCAACCCTTAATATTTCTCAGGATTTGAGGTTGATTAAGCTATGGGCTAGTGTTTAAAAACTTAATGTATTTTTTGTGAATCAGCATTGCAGATCATTGTAATATCTTGGATACTAAGCCTGGGAGTAGTTGGCATCAATGTGTATTACCTGAGCACAGCCTTCATGAGTTGGTTGATTCACAGCCATTCACTCATGGTAAGTAAGGTGTTCATTGGAATCATTGTTTTCCCTCTCAGGGCAATCTACATCCTCACTATCATCTATTTATCCTTCCGAAAGGACAAAGTAGTTATATATGTGGAACCTACAAAGCCACATAAAATTGAAAGTGGACTCAACCAAGTGGACACTTGTGTTCCTTATAGAAAAGATTTCGCTGAGACTCCATTGCCTGATTAGCTGCACCCTGTTGACCCTTGGAAAGATTCGCTTCTTCTAAGGGTATTTTTCTTGCATTTGTATAAAGGTATGAATTGCACATAATTTTGAGTAGCTGTATTGATGTCTCACCCCAATATTAATACCTTTCAACTAAATGGTTGTTATAGCATAGCTTTAGCTATCGAATCCAGGGAGAAACTTGAGTTAAGTGCGAACTAAATATTTTGTGTCAGGCTTTTGGCCTTTTGTACAATTTCGGTTAATGGTAGAATGATAGTCTGGTCCCTAACTCCTGGATTCCATGCAAGTTGATCATCATATTTTTGAGCTCTGCAATTTTCTCCTTAACAAAAAATGGAGAAAATCTCACTTGAGCCTTTAAACTTCTAAATTTGATTCTTGGACCCTCATCTTTTTGACTCTTTGCATTTGAGTTCTTTCCTTTTAATTCTCTCCATTTAATTATCAAACCTTCAATCACAAAAAATTTACATAACATGAATATAATCAACAATAATGAAATTACTTGTAGAAAAATACAATTCTTAAACTTATAATTCCACAAATGCTAATGGTTAAACACATTTTAAATAGGTATTTTCATACTCTTATCATGTATATAACCTCACGAGGTCTCCAAATTTGTACGTCAATCTTTGAGATTTGCACTCCAAGCACCTTACCCCCCAAGTACGTAACCCCAAAGGGTAAGGAACTTGTAGTTTAAATCTGAGAAGCTTATGATATATATATTTGTAAATCAAGAAATTATGTATACATTTTGAAATCTCAAGAGATTACATTCGCCTACCAAAGTCATATTAAATAAAGTGCAATTTAATTTCTTCCCTTTCCAAAATGGACATAAACTGTTGCATGTGGTGGAATAGTGGAAATAGGCCCATCTATCATCTATTTGTGAATATATGTTTAATGAAATAAAATAGCCGTCTAGATCAATCATCCAACTTGAAAGTTTTATCTTCAAAAGATTTGACTATATGTATGTTTCAAAAGATGATTAATTCGCAACAATGGCCATAAAATTAAATTGCATAATTAATTAAGACTATGATTCATGCACCCACCGGTTCGACATCCGACAGGTGCACACTGTATAAACCAAAACATTTTAAATGTAAAATTACAAATTTACTCTCTCATTAAACTATTTCCCAAATGACAG